GGGGATGACTTGCTCTGAGAAAGAGTTAACATTGCAGTATCTTGGAGTATTTGTGAAGCAGTTGTCCCAGGAACCACACCAGTTAATAGTACTTCTATCTTTTCCTCCAATCTACTGCAGGCACGGCAGCATACAACAGCTAGAAAAAAATGTGTGAGATATTTTTTAGTTTTCATAACTTTATCTTTGAGCATATTATACATGAAGAGCCATTGAAATATGTAGAAGACACTTGTTACAAAAGTAGTCAGCATCTTAATTTGAAGGATATGTTTCTCACACTTGAACATCACAGTATTATCACAATATTTATAACAACATTGACACATCTCTGAAATATATACCAAAATAACTTTTTTAAAAAAAATTAAAACAAACTTTATTTACAAGAATTAAAAACATACAAATTTGAAAATACAAAACCAATAATGTATACATAACACATTCCTCTTTATATTTGATATTGAATTTGATACATCCTGATAATCATTACTAATCTTCACACATTTCCATTAACTATCAAATCTTAATCACTGCATAACTTGCAATACTTTACTAATCTTCTCGTTGGATTATAACTATTTATTAATTAATAATAAATAATAATATATTCATACTTTTTAAATAATAAATAATAAAATATAGGGAATATAAAATGCTAGTAATAATAATGTAGAAGAAAAGAATATTTAACACCTTTGTTATTCTTCTACATTTCATAAAGACAGTTGCATATAATTTGTTTCTAGGGTTCATTTACGTGTTTTCCCTTTATGGTCTACCCAGTTGTACCATTTGTCCCATACCCTATAATAATCTGTGTCCTCCTTCCCATTGATTTTGAGTGTAAGCCTCTCCCATTGGGCACACTCATACGTTTTTTGAATAGTAATATGTATCAGTGGTACATTTGGATTCTTCCAATATTGTGCTAATGAAATCCATGCCGCCATCAATAAGTGGATGGTCAGATATCTTACTTAAGGGGAACAATCCCCTTTAATCATTCCCAACAAGAACAGTTCAGGTTTCCACTCCAGCCCACACTCTGTAATTTCTTCTATCCACTCTTTTATTTTTAACCAATATTTCTTTGTCTCAGGGCAGGTCCACCATAGATGGAAATAAGTGCCAAAGGGAAATTTGGCATTTAAAAGAACTTTTTATTCATTCATGTAAAAATAAATCTTGGTCTTCTTTCATCTTAGTCTGGAGCTACAAACTGCTTTAAAGTTCCTGCCTATTAGTATGTAGAGATAGTGTCTAAACAAGAAACATATTCATCCATTCACATTGGGCTATTTAGTGCATATTTTAATCCAAGCAGAATTTGTGACCCTCGGATATAGCTCAGGAGGCATCTGAATCTTCTATTATCCAGTAAGGATTTAGAACTCCAATAAGCTGTGAAACACCTATTTAATTAAAAAAGAAGATACAGAAGAAAGGCCTGATCCCAATGAAATCAACTGCATATAGCCTTTCAAACACTATAATAATCCAGATAAGAGCAGGGGTGGGTTTCTACCAGTTCGCAACGGTTCTATATAACCGTTAATGTCACCGGTAGTTCTCAGAACCGGTAAAACCGACCCCTGATTGGCCCCACCCCTCTCCACCGCTCGTACGGGCCAAAAACAGGTTTTTATTACTGCGAATGTGCGAATATCCCTTCCTCCCCCGCCCACCTCTCCCTTCGCTGCCCCAGTCCCTGCCCCTGTCCACTGCTCCAAAGTAAAAAGAAACCATATTTTTTAAAAAAAACAGGGTTTTTTACTGTGCATGCACGAAAATCCCTTCCGCATTCTCCCCCACCCGCCCCTTCCTTTGCTGCCCCAGCCCCCGCCCCATCCGCCGCTCCAAAGTGAAAAAAAAACTGTTTTTTTAAAAAAACAAACCATTTTTTTACGGCGCATGCGGGAAAATCCCTTCCGTATTCTCCCCCGCCCACCCCTCCCTTTGCTGCCCCAGCCCCGCCCCTATCCGCTGCTCCAAAGTTAAAAAAACCCATTTTTTT